CTCCACACTCACACAATTAACTCTCTATCTCTCGGCATTTATCATAGAAGGAGAAGAAATGGAACAAACTCTCCCAAGCTCCACTTTTAATAAAGGGCCGAAAGATTAAATTGTGAGAGGGAGAATGGTCAAGGGCTTAGGACAAGTGCTCCACATGCTATCAAATTTTGGACACCACACACTACAAGCCAAAGTGGCATGCAAGACTTCTAGCCTCAATAGTCACGCCCAATGCCAACAAAAGGAGAAGAAAATGCTTGAACAATGACAAAACTCCCTACATGCACGGCATTATGGAATAGGACAAAAGGAGAAGGGAAATGCTTGGACCAAAAACCCATAACTCTCCATGGAAAACCGCACGGCTAGAGGACAAATTGTAGGGAATCTTGGACCAAAGTGGCTAGCAAAGAGACAATGGGGGGCGCACGGTCTTAGGACAATGGAAAGAATCTTGACCACAATGCACCAACATATACACGGCAATGCACATGAGCCTTGGACAAAAATTCAAACACTCACACACGGCATTAACACATGAGCGGGGGTCCTCCATGCACGGCATTAGCACACAATGTGCACGACAATTAGCTTTAAGCTTGGATTAATTAATACTTAATCCCTTAACTATGTTTAATTATTCAATTAAACATAATGCTTAATTACCAAAATTTATTCTGAACGTAAACGGTACGTCGAAAATAATTTCCGGTAATTTCGATTGAAATAACTGAAAATAATTAATTCCGAAAAATATCGAAACTAGAAATATAATTTATACTGATAAATAGTCGAGATATTACAATGCTCCCTCCTTACAAAATTTCCGTCCTTGGAAGTTAGAAACATAACTGAAAATACATGAACTATGTGCATGGAATAAGAAATATGTACATCAGAACTGAAAATCTGGAAAACGAGCGCGAATATCGGACTCCTCCTCCCAAGTAGCTCCGTGGCGATCCCACTGAATGCGCACGAGGGGAATATCTCGCTTCCGGAGCCAACGAACCTGACGGTCTAGAACAGCTACCGGTCGCTCCTCGTACGAAAGATCTGACTGAACCTGAATATCTGAATGAGGAATGACATGATCGGGGTCGCACACGTACTTACGCAACATAGATGCGTGAAATACATTATGAATGCCTGATAACTCGGGAGGTAGGGCTGAACGATATGCGACTTCGCCTACTCGTTCGAGAACCTCGAACGGACCGATGAACCGAGGGTGGAGCTTCCCTCTCTTTCCGAATCGCACAACTCCGTGAATCGGACGAACTCGGAGAAAGGATGGCTCACCAACCTCGAACTGAATGTCTCGCCGATGATGATCGGCGGAAGATTTCTGACGACTCTGAGCTGTCCTGAGTCTCTGCCGGATCAACTCGACCTGATCTGCTGTCTCCTCGATCAACTGGGGATCGAGTATTCGTCGCTCTCCGACGTCGTCCCAATAGAGAGGGGAACGACACTTGCGACCGTACAGTGCCTCGTAAGGAGCCATCTGAATAGAAGAATGATAGCTGTTGTTATACGCAAACTCTGCGTACGGCAACAACGACTCCCACTTAGCACCCCTGTCAACAACCAAAGCGCGAAGCATATCCTCAAGCGTCTGAATAGTCTGTTCTGACTGACCGTCTGTCTCCGGATGGCAGGCTGAACTGAACTCTAGCTTTGTGCCCATCGCGTCATGCAACCTGTGCCATAATCGACTGACGAATCTGGGATCTCTGTCTGATACAATCGTAACGGGCACTCCGTGGAGTCGAAAGATCCCACGGGCATATATCTCAGCCAACTTATCCATGGACATCCTCATCGAAACGGGTAAGAAATGCGCAACCTTAGTCAATCTGTCGACCACGACCCAGATAGCGTCGTGATGTTCAGTCGACCTTGGCAATCCCGTAACGAAGTCCATCGTGACTTCCTCCCATTTCCACTTCGGAATCGGCAGTGGCTGCAGGAGGCCAATCGGACTCTGATGTTCGGCTTTAACTTGCTGACAGGTTAAACATCTCTTGACGAACTCGGCGACGTCCTTCTACATGCCTCGCCACCAGAACGACCCCTTCAGGTCGTGATACATCTTCGTGCTCCCTGGATGGGCTAGATAGGGTGCGGTATGGGCCTCTGATAAAATCTCATTCCGCAACGCCTCAACTTTCGGGACCACGATCCTGCCCCTGAACTCTAGGGCACCATCGGCACCTAGCTGAAAACCCCCGATGCCTCCGGCGCGAACCTTGGCCTCCAAGACACGAACGAATTCGTCAGAAGCCTGTTCTCATCAGATTCTCTCTCTCAGCGTCGGCTAAAGCTGCATAGCACTGACACTAGCACTGGTACTCCCCGAAACTGCTATGGGGAGTGCATCAATCGCCTGAAGCTGCATCCGGGCAAACTCCTGAATCAGCGGACTCTGCTGAGTAATGACGTACGTAAAGTCACCCCTCACTTGACGGCTTAGGGCATCTCCAACGACGTTCGCCTTTCCCGGATGGTACTGAATAGAGCAGTCGTAATCCTTGACGAGCTCTAACCAACGGCGCTGTCTCATGTTGAGCTCCTTCTGAGTAAAGATATACTGCAGGCTCTTATGATCTGTGAATATCTCACAATGACCGCCGTAAAGATAGTGCCGCTAAATCTTGAGAGCATGAACGACTGCTGCTAACTCCAAGTCGTGCGTCGGATAATTCTGCTCATGCGGCTTAAGCTGACGGGACGCATACGCAACGACCTGGTCGTCCTGCATAAGGACACATCCCAAGCCATGTCTCGAAGCATCGCTGAAGATAGTGAAACTCCGAGAAGGATCGGGAATAGTCAACACTGGTGCTGAAGTTAATCTCCTCTTGAGCTCCTGAAAGCTCGACTCACATCGGTCAGTCCATTCGAACTTCACAGACTTCCTAGTCAGCTGGGATAGAGGGAGGGCAATCTTGGAAAAGCCCTCGATGAACCTGCGATAGTATCCAGCTAGACCGAGGAAAACTGCGAACCTCAGACGGACTTCTCGGTGCTGACCAATTCTGAACAGCTGAAACCTTGGAAGGATCCACCTCGATACCTGCCTGAGTAATCACATGACCCAGAAAGGATACTCGCTGGAGCCAGAACTCGCATTTGGAGAATTTTGCAAACAACTTTTCTCGTCTGAGGGTTTCAAGAACCACCCTCAGATGCTCCTCGTGCACCTTCTGGCTCTTCGAGTAGACAAGAATATCGTCAATAAAGACAATAACAAACTGATCGAGGTAGGAATGGAATATACAGTTCATGAGGTCCATGAAAACTGCTGGCGCATTGCTGAGACCGAATGGCATGACGACGAACTCGTAATGGCCGTAACGAGTCCTGAAATCGGTCTTAGCGATATCTGACTCCTTAATCTTCAGCTGGTGGTAGCCTGATCGCAAATCAATCTTTGAGAACACACAGGCTCCCCTCAGCTGATCAAATAAGTCGTCGATCCTGGGAAGCGGGTACTTGTTCTTGATCGTCAACTGGTTAAGATCCCGGTAGTCGATACACATGCGCATGGATCCGTCCTTCTTCTTAACAAAGAGAACGGGTGCTCCCCAAGGTGACACACTCGGTCGGATGAAACCGAGTCGTAACAGCTCCTGAATCTGCGCCTTAAGCTCCTGCAACTCCTTAGGCGCCATACGGTACGGGGCTTTGGATATCGGACCGGCCCCTGGAATCAGGTCTATAGAGAACTCCACCTGCCGATTAGGCGGTCCTCCTGGAAGCTCGTCTGGGAATACGTCCACAAACTCTCGAACGACTGGAACATCGTGAGGTGAACGCGCTTTCTGGGAATCGTCAACAAGGCTCACCAGATAACCCTGGTAGTTGCCTCGTCGCAGCAACTTAGTGGCTTTTGCCATCGAAACAACATGAGGCAAAGAACGGTTTCTGGAGCTGAAGAAAGTAATCGGCTCGTCTTTCGGAAGATAAAGAGTATTCTCCCGATCGTGACATTTGATATCCGCATGATAAAAGGATAGCCAATCCTTTCCGAGAATAAGGTCGAAGTCCTTAATCTCAAGAACAAAAGCGTTGGTAGACAATACTCGGCCACCGATGGAAAGGCTAAGATCTGAGGCTTTAGCTGAAGTCACTATCTTTCGTCCCGAGGCCAAACTCACCTCGAGAGGATCGATAGCGGTAGTAGCGCGAACTCCGATGGCATCAAGACATCGTCGTGAAATGAAAGTATGCGTCGCCCCAGTATCAAATAAAGCAAATACAGGAACATTATTAAGAATAACCGTTCCGGACATGGTACCTGGCTGCTGCTCGGCCTCTGCCTGATCGATGGCGTAAACTCTGGCCTGCTGTCTACCCCTCTGCTGCTGCTGCTGGGGCTGCCTCTGTGCCTGCTGACGGGGCTGCTGCTGCTGCGGTGGCTGCTGAGGCTGCTGAGCCTGCTGAGCCTTCTTCGAACAACGGTTCGCGAAGTGTCCGACCTCGTGACAATAGTAGCACACATCCTAACCAAAGCGACACTCGCCTCGGTGATGTCGTCCACATGTCGGGCACTGTGGAACCTGCTGTAGCCTCCGTCGAGCCCTCTTATCTGTCTGGGCACCCTTATCCTTCCTCTTGTTGTTCTTGGGCGGCTGGGTAGATGGTAAAGCTGACATCGGTGGAACTGAAGACGACTGACCACGAACGGCCTCCCTCCTAAGGCTAGCATCCACCTCCTGAGCAATGGAGACTGCACGTGCTTACGTCTGTGTTCCGTGGCCTACGATGTTATGACGGACTGCTGGGTAAAGCCCGTCAATGAAACGCTGCGCTCGCTGGGCCTCCGTGCGGACCAAATCAGGGACGAAAGCTGCAAGTCTCGTGAACTCTCTCTCGTACTCGTCGACAGTACGAGTACCCTGCTGGAGCGATAGAAACTGACGCTCCATCTCTGCTCGGTAGTATGTGGGATAGTACTTCTCACGGATCAACTCCTTGAGCATCTCCCACGTACATCCCGCTTTCTCGCCGGGACGCATGCCCCAGTAAGCGTTCCACCAGAGCCTGGCATCGCCGGTGAACTGAAGCTGAGCACAAATGACGCGATATCTCTCAGGGCACTCCATGACCTCGAAGATAAACTCCATACCCTGAATCCACTCGTCAACTACGCGTGGATCTCCCTGCCCTGAGAACTTTTCGGCATGGTAGTCGCGGAACTGGGCGACCACTGTAGCCTGAGTAGGAGCCGGATGATCGGGTTCCCTACGTGGCGGCATCTGAACATTGAAAAAGTTCAAAATTATTGAACACGATGATATTCTGACTGATTATTAAGGCACACGGATCTCTTGACGAGTTGCCAAAAATGGCCGATAATTACTGACATGAAAACTGAGGAACTCTAGAGTCATATCGAAAGATACTAAAGTCTAGAGTTATATCTGAGTGTACTGATTTCTAAAATCTAGTCTGAATGTACTGAATTCTAGAGTTATATCCGAACTCTAAAGTCTGAATCTGAATTGAGCATCTTAACTAAGTCTGATTACTGATTTCTGAGCATAGACAAAGTAATATGTTTATAACT